TGATTTTTTACGACGAGAGAGGACTTTACTTCTCAATTGCATACCCAGTCCAAGGCGGACATTATTATTTATTGGTGTTAATGCTAGTTCCCAAATAAACGAAGTCTACTTTTTCAAACTTGTAACTGTCAAAGTAACGTGGGTGCCAAGACGCGTATGCTCTGACTGTTTGTGTGATGCCAGGAGAGAGTTACTTCGTTTTGTCCTCGTTCACCACCAAACCATTCGCTTTTCTTACTATCTAATCCCGAGAAGGCAGAACAGACGTAGCCCTTGTTTTTACCAATAATGTTGATGTCGTCAGCATACGCCAGCAATTGTACGCTCTTATAAAGTATTGTGCCTGAACGTTCAGTACTTCGGCTCTTATTATCTTCTCCAATATTAGATAAAAACACCCGAAAAGGAGAGGTCATTCCCAATTCTGACGGAGCTGGTGGTATTGCTCAACGTCGTTTTACACAGCCGTATTAGTTTCGTGGGGATACCAAATTCAGATATTGCGGCATAAACACAACTTCTTTTCGTGCTGTCGAAAGCAGCATTGAAATCGACAAATGGGTGGTGTGTGTCGACCCTATTCTCGCAGGTCTTTTCTAAGATTTAACGTATTGTGGATACCTGTTCTATGGTGGATTTTCCAGGTATAAAGCCACACTGATAAGGCTCAATCAGTTCGTTGACGGTTGGATTCAGTCTTTCACACAATACACTTGATAAGACCTTGTAACCTATGCTTAGAAGGCTGATCCCGCTGTAGTTTGCGCGTATGGCGGGATCGCCTTTCTTGGGGATTGGGCAGAGCACACTTAAATTCCAGTCGTTGGGAATGCGTTCATCTGACCATATTCTGCATAGGAGTTGATCCGTAAACCTTATCAACTCTATAGATCGCCATTATTGTTCTTACAGCAGTTCGCCCTGGTCTTGAAACCTATCGTAAGTCGCCTAACCTGTAGACGGCATCGTTTTTCTATGGAGCTTTTTGGCATTCCTCATCGAACCAGTTGTTATTTCGGACTCGCTGAAATATAACTACTTCTTCGGCGGCGGTAGTTAGTGAGTGGGAAATGTAGTTCCACTGCTCGCGTATGTCGGTTTGTCGGAGTGCTCTTGGAGAGCAGGTGTGAGAGTCGAGTGGCGAATAAATTGGCCGTCTATTGTGACTGCAGCCTTTCGATGTTAAGCTTTCCTTGCATTGTTGAGCGCACATTTCTTGCTGCACAGAGGCGGGTGCGTATCTTGGCTGCAACAAGATAGTGGTCCGGTCGATGTGAATCGTGCCTTCCGTCCGTTATCACAACATGATCGATTTGGTTTCTCGTTTTTCAATTTGGAGACAGCCAGGTAGCTTTATAATGAATTAATTGATGCAAAAAAACGTCCTACATTTTTTAGTCTTTCGCTGTGTAGATCTAGCTGTGCGATGTATTATTTGCTGGGATGACGAGACTTACTCAGTTTTAACTGTTAAGCCTGAATGTTTTTTTTTTTTCATTGTCATAGCATACAAGTTTCTGTCCTTAACCAGGGGTCTTCTCTGTAATGCGATATGAAAGAGCAATGCAATGCGATAAGCAAATACATCGTAAGTAATACTAGGTTCACATATAAGTAGATTATCTTCATTTTCGAGCTTAACACCCTAATCTGTAATTATAACAACAGATTAGCCATATAAAACTCGTCCCTTGTTAATCTGTAATTATAAAATAATCTCAGATTAAACCGATAAGTTTTCGGTGTCCATACTAGTTTTATCGATTGTTTTTGCAAAAAAGAGGAGAAATGCCAAATGTAAAAGTAAACAAAAATGTACGCTAGCAAGGAAAAGAGGTTTGTAAAGGTATTTTTAATAAAATGTTAAGTTAAAATATATTTATATTGCTTATTATAGCATAAAAACGTTATCACGGTGGCACAGAGAAGAAACATAACTTTTCCTTGAGATGGGAGAATAACAAGCACAACAAATTTGACGGCTAATAAACTGAGATTTGCCTGTGTAAACAGGGTGATTAAAAAACGAGCTTTGATTGGGATAATATTGATATGTGAACATAGTTTAATATGCAGTGGCGATTGCCTGTCGTATCCCATTACAGAGTAGCCTTCTAGATGGTACATATATGTAAATCTGGGTAGTTCCTGTTAATTAGATCCGACTGTCGTTTAAACAGAGTTATAATTTTCCATTCTCGCAGCAACAAATTTTAAGAGAAAAATTTGCAGACGCTCTAAGCCGCAGCGTGTTTCCAAGGTCAATATTAAGCCGAATTGGCGCAGAAAATTCGATATCCGCCGTGAAACTCTCCGGAATTAGGTTCACAACAATGTATGTAGATTAAAAAAATTGGCGGGGAAATTTGACAAAACAAATAGTGATGGCTATTTGTGACAACAATGTAGCTCCCTTCTTCAGGCAAGCAATTTTTTCAATCAGATAAGCTGAAATCTAAGTCTCATAATTAGTCAAGACAACTTTGTTATCGAAAATAAATACAGGTGATCTTCAAGACATGTGTCTCTATTATCCGGGAAATTATTTAGGGGAATGTACGAGTCTGAGCTCGGATTATAGACAGAGATAGAATCGGTTTACCTACACCGATTCAATTGAGTTTCCATTGTGAAGGAATGTTTTGTTAAATTTAAGAATCGGTTCCGGGCACAGAAAGTTGCTTAGAAGGGTTGCAGAGTAATACCCTTTGTTTTTGGCACCTAATGGCAAAAGATACGTCCTAGAGTCTTCTTTGGAAGAAAGTACATCGTAAGATTCTCTTTAAGAGAGCAATGGACAGATCCAGAAAATCTATGGGAGGCTGAAAATTGTACTGGAGCTTGTTGACATATACACTGTAACTTCAGGTGCTTCACTACTTTGGGTGTAATAGCAACGGTCTTTGAATAGGAAGCCTTTACAATACTGAAAGTAGCAGACTGGATAATTGGCAATACATACGTAGCGGGATATAAAATCCGTGTCTGCAGTGACAGCCGAGCAGCTCTAAAGATCTTCGATGCCGCTCGCACCTCATTAAAAAATAGGCCAGGAGTGTAGGTAGAGGCTAAACTCCATTGTAAGGTGGAATGAACTTAAACTTGTGTGGATGCCACGATACTGTGGTGTTCAAGTGCACAAACTGGCTTATAAATTGGCGCACTGCGGTTCTCTGGAGCACAAAATTGACGCGGAGCCAGTTTTAGGGCCAAGCATAGTGTGAATAATCGGATTCATCAAGGATAAATCTATCTAATGAGAGCCAAGTATTTCCTATAACGGGCTGACATGGTGGTATCAAAATTCACCTCAGGCAGAGGAGTGATCTACGAGCCCAGATAAAACTGATTGCGGGGCATAATCCAAGGACGACACACACGACTAACAGAATAGTTTTTCTGCCGCTTCCCGGCCTTCGCCAGACTTACGATGGCAATTTTTTGGTTCGGATGTTTTTTACATTGGACGAGCTTCAATCTCGTTCCCTCGACAAACTGCAAAGGCTCATAACGGAGGCCGGTAAGTTAGAAGAGGAGCAATGAATTCCCACTCCATCTATATATACCTATCCTCTAAATCCTCTTTCTATACCTTAATTACAATGAGCAATACTGCCTGAGTACTTGAACAAATTATTTATGGGTTTCCGGCCAACCACGATTCCATTCCATGCCAAGGCTCGGTATGTCCATGCTGGCAATGGGAAATTGCCACTTTTATGAAAAACTCCTTGAGGAACTTAAACCCCTAAGTACTACTTCGTCTGAAGAATCATTTTTGGCGTGGTTTGGAGCTCAACTTTTCTTTTCGACCGTCGTCGAACTGAGGTAAATAAAAAAGTGCAAAAATCTAGTAAGTAACTGATGGGCGAAAACACAAAAATACATATTTGACCACTGTACCATTAAAGCACACAGCAACTGCACAGCGGTGATAATAATTTGTATTCATTAAGCTGGCAAGGTTGCACCACGGCCCGCAGACAGCAAATTAAGACTTGGGAAAGTGAAGGCACTTTTTAAATTGCCTGGCACAAACCTTCATACAAACGCGAGATCTTAATAAAAAAAAAAAAAGTCGACCCGGAGCGGAACGCGTTGAGATTAAATTACCTACCAACATAGCAACACTTTATGATTTTAATAAGGATGCAACAAAAAGCAATGCACTGTTCGGCCGAAGGAGTAAAGCGTAACGCTATAAAATTTTAATAACTTTTATATATGTATATATATAATTGTTTTCCAGGAAGAATTCGGAGAGAAAATTTAAAATTAAATCTTTGGCCTAAAATTTTTAATTAAAAGTTTCAAAATAAGGGCATTCGTTTAATTTTATATTCGTTGAGTTTTAATAAGACGCGCAAAGCGTTGGCAACTTAATCCTTTTCCCAGCTGCCTGCTGCCAGCTAAGTCATTTAATATCGAAAAATACTTTTTTCATCAACTCATCATCGTTCATCACCGATACGCCCAACGCATCCATCACAAACTGTCAACGCAGACGCTTTGATTGGACGAAAACATATGAAGGGATTGCAAAAAAACCAGATGTACTGCAGGTGTAAAGGCAAAACGCCTAAAATGCCACTAAGCCTTTGATGAGATGCACAGAGGAGCGCTGACTGATGAGCAATACACAAACACATAAACATACATGCATACATACATATATGTACGTACATAATAGGTATGGACAAATGAAAACGGAAGGACAGGGGTGTTTTAACCGCAGACATATTTAAAAAAAACACACTAAACCACAAAGCAACGACTTAATTAGCCGCAAGTATTAAAACTCACACGAGCTGCGGCACAGACAGGCGCAGAGGGGCAAAGAGAGAGAGGACTGTGATTGAGCGGCACTCTGGCAAAATGGCGCGCATCTCTTGTTTCAAATTAAACCCTGTTGGGGGTGTGTAGTTGCGCGACACTAGCTCTTTTACTTCCTCATCCCCAACTGCTGCTGCTGCTGATGACGACGCAGGTGCCAGCAAACAGCCATTAGCGCTCTCTTGCTCATATTTTACCTGCCTTAACCACCCCTCGTCTTTATTTAGTCAGAAGTTAAACATTTGTCTCTTTCGCTCGAGTACTTACCCCTTTCTTTTTTTTGGGATATTTCTTGGAAATTTCTGCGCTCGGATGTGTATATACATATATCTCCAGCTTACTTTCTGTGTGTACTTATGTAGGGATTTTTTCTTGAATATGGCGAATCACATGATTGATTGCTGGTTGTTTTGGTGCTCGAGGTTATTTAAAAACCCATTGAAAAATAAGCATAACTGATAGGCAAGTAGCTTTGAGATAATTAACTAAAATATAATTTTGAAATTAATTATAAAAGCAATTTACGCCGTAAATGGTACTGAACCTTTTGTGGTAATAGACGAGTCTAAGATCCCATTCTACAAGCAAGCTCTCCGCCATTGTTTTACTCAGCAAACCAGAGGTACCAAAAAAACGTGTGGCTGATACGAGTTGTTTCATAGATTTACAGGAATGAGCCAGATTTTTGTTGTATAATACGAGGCTTTTCATTCAGCATGCAAGATTCAATTCGTTGTCATGCCGATTCGCAGAGATTTTTTCCACCTAATTCGTTCAATTTCGCAGTATAATATTTAAATTAATGTACTTATCTATATAGTAATGACTAATCATTCGCGAGAACTGGTTTTGGGGTTAGACTTCTTCTTTGTGGGAACTGTCATGGTTAAGTTTACTCGAGCGCAGCATCTTCCTTTTATCGCAACTTCTTTTAAGTGCTTTTAGGTTCCAAAAACGCTCTTAATAGCTTTCTTACTTGATACAAAGAGGGACTTCAATATACTTCGCTTCGAAAAGCCTAGCAGTGTATCAGCTCTTCTTGAGTATAAATAAGCTCTTTTATTTTTTCGAAGTGAATATATCAGGCAAGAAATCCGCTGTAGAATGTTTTGGAAGTAGAGAAACGTTGAAGTAAGCATTGTATTTTTGAAAACCAACAAAATTTAAGTAATTTACTTACCTAAACTAGGTTTAGGCTATAATGAATGAAATCCCGCCAAAGTGCAGCTTGAAGTAGAGCTTTATTTCTGCGTAGATAATTCTCATTGATCGTACGAGTCGCGAGACTTCAATGTTACTTTTGAAATATGTAAGTTATTCGAATCGGTGGGCGGTTAAGATTGGTGTTATTTTAATACCTCTCGCCTTCAATGAAAATACATATGTCTATGATGGCATAAGCTTGCTTGTAGTGATATCTGTACTTCGGCAATCTTTGAAAACAACTTCAGGGCTGCAACAAGTTTTTTTTCTTTTTATTAAATTTTTTCGGCTTCTTTCTGGCGCTGGTTCCACCTTCAAATTAACCTAAAACATTCAAATGTTTAAGAATTTATTTCAAAATTTGAAAACACTTATTCACATGAGCTTACAATCAATAGAAATGTTATTTTTGCATTTCTTAATTTTCATTATTATTTTTTCTTATTAATTGTATAGTTATTAGTATTATTGCTATTTGAGTTTATATTCTTCGAATTAATTATGTAATTGTATTTTTATTATGTACTAAATATGTATATATGCATGTATGTATGTATGTAATTATTTTACTCATTTTTTCTCTTTATAGAATTTGAATAGTTGATTAGCGCTTAAAACTACAGCTTACAAAACTAATTTAAAATTGTTTTTTTTTAATAACTTTTTAGCTACATACTAATGTGTGTATAAAAAATCAAATATTGCCTTAAAACAGCAGGTAAATAGATCTGTTGCTGTTCATTTTATGTAAAGTATTTAGTTTAAAAAATTCAATTTTTTATTAAAAATTACTTGAGATATATATACGTATTTATTTAAAAAAATTTTAATGAGAATGTGAACATATATTTTTAAGAAAATTGCAAGCTCGAACGCGACAATTCAGTCAGAAGGAAAGGCTTGCGAATTCTTAATGAATAAAGGAAAGCAAACTTGGGAAGACTACAGAGAATATAAGGGGACTGCAGAGGGTGCAGTTTGCGGTTTGCACAAGTGTGAGCAAATTATAATGAAGGGATTAAAAAATAAGTAAGGGCACTAAATTAGGGATAGACAATATTTAAAGCATTTAAGAGTATTTTTGGAAATGAATCGCAAAATAAATAAGTTTTAAAAAGCGATCAATTAAAAAAAAACGTCTGGTTACAATTTGAAAAAAAAAGAAAAAAATTTCAAAATATGGAAGTTAGAAACTATCTAAACAAATATCTAAAGAAAATGTGTACAAAAAAAAATAAATAAAGAAACAAATAAAATTTAGAAGATTCTTTTTCTAAACAATTTTAATTAAAGAACGTAATATTAATGAATATAATAATATTACAACTTTTGTCAACAATTCACTCAAATTACGGAATTTAGAGAACTCAAAAAACAAAAATTAAATTAAATTAAGCAAAGCAAAAACTTGGAAAATTGCGAAATTTTAAATATTTCTATTAAGAAAAACCAATTTTTTAAACGAAAAGAAGCGATTAATTAATAAATTTTTATATTTTTTTAAGAATTATTAAAAATTGGAAATTTTCCAAATAAGGCAACAATCCCATAAAGCAGGCATTGGCAGCTCAGGCAAGTGCAAAAGATTTACATGCGAATAATTAAAAAAAGGATTATATACACATAAAAATACTATTTCTGTTTATGTATATTTCCTAAACAGATGAAAGTTCAAAAACTTACGGCGAAAAAGTACAGAATTTAGAGAAAATAAATTTTGACTCAACTTCGAAATTTTAATGATACTCTTTTGCTATTACTACGTAGTTGTTGACAGAATTAAAACACCAATTTTTAGCTTTTAAATAAAAAATAAAAGAAGTTAATAAAAAATTCAGGAAAAATTTTAAAAATTAAAAATAACATTAACATTAACATTAAGGTATGTAACTTGAGAATAGAAATCGCTGCATCTTTTAGGCGCATCAATATTACATAGTTACATCCCGAGCTAATAAAAGGGAGGTAAAAAAAATATGGGGGCACCAGCCATAACAAGCCTGCAAAAGGTTTTGAATTTTTAAGTAGAACAAAAAATATTAAAAAAAAAGAATTTCATTTTTTCCACCTTTTGGCGCAACCTTTTTTTGCGACTTTTATGATAAATAAAGCTTTTCGCAATGTTAGAAAAATTGTTATTTTTTAATTTCTTCTTTCGCTTTAACACTTAAAAATGTTTAAATAAATGTTTGCCATTTGTTACACAAGCAACAATTATAAGTAAAATTACTCTGCTTTTATACTTAATTTTTTAATCTGTTTTAGAATTATTTACAATTTTTTACTGATGTCGTTACATNTCAATATTACATAGTTACACCCCGAGCTAATAAAAGGGAGGTAAAAAAAATATGGGGGCACCAGCCATAACAAGCCTGCAAAAGGTTTTGAATTTTTAAGTAGAACAAAAAATATTAAAAAAAAAGAATTTCATTTTTTCCACCTTTTGGCGCAACCTTTTTTTGCGACTTTTATGATAAATAAAGCTTTTCGCAATGTTAGAAAAATTGTTATTTTTTAATTTCTTCTTTCGCTTTAACACTTAAAAATGTTTAAATAAATGTTTGCCATTTGTTACACAAGCAACAATTATAAGTAAAATTACTCTGCTTTTATACTTAATTTTTTAATCTGTTTTAGAATTATTTACAATTTTTTACTGATGTCGTTACATGCGGTAGAAAATCGAGGCAAATTATGGTTTAGAAAATATTAAAAAAAAAACCGATTATAGAAAAAACGTGAGGAAAATGCGTAAAATGTTGAAAACTCGGAAAACGAAAAAATATTTCAAACAAATTTTGGCAGTTCAGCATATGTTACGAGATTTTCGTGTATTTTTTCACCAATAACGGGTAATCCAAATTATTTCAGATTCAAAATTCTGCAGTTTTTTTCAAAACTTTCGGCTTCACACCGCCACGCATTTGCCAATCAATTTCCCACCGCCTGTCTGCAAAGTTTTTTGTAAAATTTTTTTTACACTAAGTTAGCTATATTTCTTAAACTGTTGAATTTCTAATTTCTTTTTCGCATTTTCATGCAACATTTTTCCTAGCATACTTCCAGGATTCACGATGGTCCGCATCACTGCATGCAATACAATGAAACAATAACAAATAAATGAAGTAAAAAATTAACATTAAAAGTTAAGTTAAAGCCTTAAATATTACTAAAAAAAATCGAAGTTTCGAAACTAATTAGAAATTTCGAAATTAATATTAAAAAGTAGTTATAAAGCAATTTAGTGGATCAACGTGCGCTGATGCTGCTCCCGCTGCAGTTGCAGTTGCCGCCTCTATTTAGTCGGTATGAAGCGCGCCTTCACTTGATTGGCCAGCAAATGATGTTGTTGTTGCTGCTGTTGCTGATGCAATTGTTGTTGCTGCTGTTGTTGCTGCTGTTGCATATGTTGGCTAATTTGTTGTTGTATGGATAAGCCGCTAGCATTGCTGATGACATGCTGATTGTGCAATGGCTCATTAATCTCAACTTTGATGGGAGGATTTTGAGGTTCTTTGTTCTTGCGCGGACGACCACCTGCCAAAAGTAAGAGAAATCAATTTCACATGACAAGTATGGTAAGGTTGGGAAGGGAGAGAAGCGTTCAGTACAGTTAGCAAAATGGATATAAACTTGGTAAAATTAGTTGAAAAACGTGGAATAAACGATTTTACAAAATTAGTGCGACACTATCTATGGAAGTGAAGCTTCTTCTCTCGATGCATTTCATTGCATAATCTACTCAAAATTTTAGTTTAGGCGGCAAGAGAGGGAGGCAGTAGAAGGAACAAAGATGCATTTCCGTTACACTGCAAGTATTACATTTTTGCGTGCCTATTTTTAAATTCAGTAGACAAAGAAGTTTCACTTCAAGAGTAGTTCGCCATTGCGGGGAAGGAAATTAATAATTTTGTAAAATAGCAAGCACCAGCGGTTTGGGTAAGTTTAATTTGGAATGCGAAATTAAAATCCGCAACTAAATATGTAAAAAGTAACTGGACAGAGTATAAAAGAGACAAACAGCTGAAGCAAGTGTGAAAACGATAAGAGAATAAAATTTTAATAAACTCAATAGAAATCTTTGCAAATTTTGCAAGCGCCGAGTTGTCAAAAACAGCAACAAATTTATAATTTAGTAAGTAATATTCGCAAATCGGTCCAGGCGTATATCTACACAGTTTAGAGCAGCTTAGATTAATGAACGAATGCCTGCTTGCCGCTTGCTAACAAAAATCCACATGCTTAATCAAACAAGCAAACATTTTTACTAGCCGAATGGCTTTCAAGCTTTCATGTAAATAAACTGTTTTGTTTACGCTTTCTTCCAGTATTCGAACACATACGTTGGCCGGCGGTGTGTTGTATTGAGAGTGGCTGTCCAATCATAGCCAACGGCTGTTGCGGCGATTGCAGTGTTATCGACTTCTTTGAACGTTTCGGCGGCGGCAGCTCATTGTGTGCGTGATTCGTTAGCAAGTGTTTGGATAAATGCTGGCGCACAGCGAATGCCTCATTGCAATTGGGCACAGGACAGTTGAGGTACCTAAAAACAAAGAAGAGCGAAGCAATTTATTTTATGCCATTTACTTTATAATAGATTGAGCGACGAGCGCTACCCACCTGCCCTCCACATGTCGCTGCACATGTTTCTTCAACAACGTTTCCTGGTTGAATGAGCTCGGACAGATGTCGCATTTGAATTTGAATTCATCGTGCATCTTCAGATGCTGATCGAGATGCGCCTGCTGCAGGAATTTCTCATCACACTTGCTGCATTCGTATGGGAAAGCCATGCCATGCGATTTCATGTGTGTATGCAGCTGCGATTGCTGCTTGAACGTCTTATCCGGACAGCGTGGACAATAGTAGCCGGTAATGCCGGCATGCGCTTGGAGATGCTGATTGAGCGAGGTGACTTGCGTGAATTTCTTGGGGCACTGATTGCAGCAGTATTGCTGTACTTTGTGGTGTGTCTTCATGTGATTGTTGAGGTTGGTCACCTGAGTCGGGGAAAATGTTAGTATTTTTCGTAATAAAAAATAAAAAAATATGGACTCGAATTACCTGCGCAAATGAGCGCCCGCACTCGGGCTCTATGCAGACGAAGGGGCGTTCCCCAGTATGCAAGCGACGATGATTATTCAAATTTGTGATCTGTGAAAAATGGAAATTTAAATACACTTTTTTCCAATTTTAAATATTCAGCTTTCTACCAACCTGTGTAAATTGTTTGCCACAATCCACACACACGTATGGTCGATCGTTTGTGTGTATGCGTTCATGGTTACGCAAATTGGCTGCTTGTGTAAAGCCTTAAAAAGTGGAAAAGTTGTATATGATAAACCAAAATACATAAATCTGTTGTGTTTGGTTGTTAGATTTTTGATTTTTTTTTTTTTTTTTGATCTTCTAGCTTTTGATTTTTTTGTTTTAGTTTTTATTACTTTTAGCCTCTCACTACTTACCTTTATTACAAAAATTGCAAACAAATTTCCGCTCGGCTGCATGATTGCGTATATGTGTCAGTAGCGAAGATTTGCGTGAGAATGTCTTGTTGCAAAGGGGGCAGGAGCCCTCCTCGTTGAAAATCAAGTCCACCTGAAAGGAAGAGAAGCACATTCACACAGAGATTTGAAAAAGGAGACGATTTAAAATGCGATAATGATAATTACGTCTAACTGCTGTATGGTCTTCTCCAATTCAAAGGCCGACATTGTGACCGTTTTTAATTTCGCGCGATTCTGAAGGGAAACTTGGCGCCGATTTTGACGATTTTGCTGCGAATAGAACCGGAAAAAATATTGAGTTTAGAAAGTTCAGTATTACTAAATTTACGTATAAAAAAGTAGAGGCAAATGAAAAAAAAACACAAATTAACTCCTAAAAATATGCAATGGAATTCTTTAAATTTTCTTTAAGCCACACATCTGTTCTCACCTTCTCTGTAATCTCAGATGCGGACTGTATACTTTCGGAAGAACTTGTTGATTGTAGTTGATGTTGTTGCTGCTGTTGTTGTTGCTGTTGTTGCTGTTGCTGTTGATGTTGTTGGTGTTGCTGCTGTAGCTGTTGTGCCAAAGCGTTAACGGCAGCGACGTTATTATTGTTTGCCGCAGCGGCGACGTTATTACTCAATTGTGCAGCGACTGCGGCGACATTCGCTAGATTTTGTGTGTCCACAGCACTTGCACCACCAGCACCGGCCACACCGCCACGTACCGATGGATAGAAACCGTTTGCAGTTAGATGCTCGGAGCACTTGACACAGGTGGGTATATTATAGCCGGGAACTTGGAACAACTGAAGAGGAGAGAAGAGAAAAAATTTAAAAAATTGCATACATATAGGCATTTCCACCAGTTTAAATATTTAATAAAACCGAAAGCAAAAACCATAAATAAATGCCGGCTGTGCTTGAAACAATTAAAAATAAGAAAGTAGACAAATTGTCGCCTTTAATCTGATTTAAATACAAAAGCCACATTCTTTTCACTTGGCAACTCTGCATAAATCCTGCTTGGCGGCACACCCACACCCAACATATCCGTCATCACTTGTTCCCAGGTTGCCCGGCCCGGCCCGGTGGCATTCAAGCACATTTTTTTTAATTAAAAGAAAACAAAGTCCATTACAGGCCGCTTCAGCGCGGTAGTGGGTAAGTGGAAAAATAACGCAGGCAAAAGGAGAAGAAACAAATAAAAAAGCATAATAAATGTGCTTCCATAAGAGCTGTTTTCTTTGTGCGCTGTCTACCTAGTGCTGACCAAGCCACAATTGCTTTTGTTGTTATTGTGTCAGCGCAGTCAACCGTTGCCACAAACGGACGGCCGGCGGAACAGTCAGCCAAGCATTTTTGCGTCGCTCTGCCAATGGCGCTGCTACTTATTCTTTGCAGCACTCATTTTTTTCAATGTTTGTTCTTCTACCCCTCGGCACAACGTCTTGTGTACGCGCTTCGTTCGTTCTCAAAGTAATCAGTCAACTGCTGTGCTGCTAGGGATGCAAAATTTATTTTTAAATAACTATATCACCGGAAAAATATCGAGCCCTAACCGCCAAAATAACGTAAGCGACATTTTTTTCAAAATTTTCTTTTTGATGCAGAAATGTATCTAGATGATCTAGGAATATTTCTGCATCAAAAAGAAAATTTAGAAAAAAATGTCGCTTACGTTATTTTGGAGGTTAGGGCTCGATATCGTCGATAGTTTACTATATGTTACTATTTTTTAAAGTCTAGTCATATTCAATGCTAATTTTTAATCCCAACAAAATACTTTTGAATTTCGTATTAATTTGGCTGGGGCCTAAAGTGCCAAGGCCTGTAATCGAAAAAATGTTTAGGCCATAAAATTCTCATAGGCGCATGGTCCGCCCTTTTTAATAACTAGGTATCAATATTTGGCGATAAACTGAATGTTCTCCAAGGAATGAATGATATAAAATTGTATGATCAGTCAAAACAAATTTTTAAAATCATTAGATACAAGTCGATGTTTAAATCATCGTTGAATTTGGCATCGATGCATCACCAATTTCTCGTTAAAAATTTTGAAATATCGATCGCAAGCATCGAATTTTAAACCGATCGGTTTTTTAAAAGCATCGTTCCATCGTTTGCATCCCTTTGTGTTGCTGCTGTACTTATTGTTGCTGCTTTTCTACTACATACCTTGCTATTGGAAACGCTGGCGCCGCAGTCGCCGCTACCTGCTCACGACTTTACATCAGTGATGGCATTTGCCATTGTATCGAAAACCAGCTATACAGTATTTCTGACCGGTTTGTCTTTTATTTTACAATCGAACACGAAACGATAAAAGGCCATATTCTTTGATTGAAACGAAAGCACAATAAGTTTTTATTAACTAAAAAAAATATATGGCTAAGCATAAAACAATCCAGCTCTGAAAGTATTCAACTCGGAACCCGCTGGAGGTAACAAAAGAAGAGGAAGGCCTCCTCTGCGTTGGAAAGACCAGGTGGAGAAGAACTTAGCTTCACTTGGCATTTCAAATTAGCGTCAGTTGGCACAGAAGAGAAACAACTCGTGTTCTTTGTTGTCACACAAAGTGGAGGGATCTACAGTTTTACGCCGACTCCGAACGGGGATTGTATTTTTATGAGAAGCTATACACTCGGAGGTTTGTCACTGCCTGCCGAGGGACGACTGCTGTTAAGAAGACCTTTTTATATATTTTTTGCGAAGTTGCTTTGACCCTGGCTTGAACCCAGGTGCTGATGAGTGAAAGCGCGCACTGCTTACCACTACTACACAGCGGCCGACAAGTTAAAACAGTCGGGTCTACGTAACCGGAACGACCCAGACTTATATCTGGCCAAGGACTGTCACTCCAGCAACACTCCCAAAAAATCGAAAAGAAAAGGTCACGTACTGTTGACAAGAATATCTTACCTATAGTGTTTTGGTGCTCTGAACACCTGAAGTCACTTTTGTTCCATCGCATCAGGATTTTGTCGTACCTACCCCCAAAGAACATTAGGAAAAAATCGTGACGTTATGTAGCAAAACAGACTTCAGGTTCGTGTTCAGCGGATAAAAATACATTTGAGAAGGATAGTCTGATCCCCGAACGCAGACACTTCTCCATCAGAAATTGTATCCAAAAAAGTAAAATGTGCCCACATTATCCATCACTGCTTTATACTCGTTGGCTTCGCTTGGATTATTCTGCTTGCCACATTTTTGTAGTTGTTTTGTTATTCATTGCTTGTTTGTTTGTCTTTCTGTTTTGCTTTTGCTTAGTTACTTACTTAACTCAGTAAATTTTACAAGTTCTCTGGCTTTAATGGCTCTGTTGTTACTTCTTATTTGCGAAAATTCGTTGTATGTAAGCACTGCCGCCGTGGGCTGACGAAGTCATCATCACCGTAGTCATCATAATCGATGGTTTGGCTCAATTTTGTAGAATTTTATCTATTCTAAGCATATTTTTTAGAGCAATTTTTTAAGGTTTTTGTACATTTTTTCTCCTACTTCTATTTAGCTGAAAATTGTATTTATTGACTTTTCTTTGCTATTGTGACTCAAAAAACCGTCCGTCCATCGATGAGCACTATCGACATTCGCTTTATTGCCTGCCTGGCTGATTGCTTTTGCGTTTTGCGTCCAGCCGGCCATTAAATGTTAGGGGGGAATTGTGGTAGAAAAACAAAAGCGAAAGAAAAATAAAAGCAAACAAAACACAAAACCAAGAAAAATATATAATGGAAATAAAGTGTAAAAATTTATACATTAATACGCTGGTCGTCGATGAAAGTGTGTTGGTAGAGGTGGCGCGCGTTGTGCAGCCGCCGTACAACAGACAAGGCGTACATTGTGCTGAAAAAGTAATAAACGCGCTGGGATCGTAGAGAAGTAAAAAGTAAAAAAAAATCGTTTAGACGCCATTTTAGTGGCATTAAAGCCGGTCAAGTGGTTCATGAATAGCCGAACGGGAAAATGGGTATCTAGTCCGCTCTGTACTAAAAATTTTTTACCAAATAAAATATAGCTGTAATATTCTTAAAAAATCTAAGAAAGAAAAATGTTCCTTATTCTGGAATAACACTTCTCAGCCCATGCACTCACTAACTACACTGTCCTTCCAAATGCATTTCGCATTTATTCTCCAGTTTTGCCGCCCTTTTATCTCTTCTCATCCTACTTCCACTTTCCTTACAACTGTTTTCCCCTTAAGCGCCTTAACAGCCCACTTTCCAATTTTCCATTTTGCAATTTAGACCATTTAGAAAAAAAAAAACTACCCCCACCCAAACTCCAAGCATTGGGACTCCATCAATTGCCACTCCCACCGATTGTATTGTATGCCCGTCACTTGCTCGGCCAATCGACCGTCCGCCCGCCTATCCCCGCTATTCTATACGCCTGAAAAATCAATAAAAATAACAAAATACACATTTTTTCCAACAACTGAAAACTGCTGCAGCAGCTCCTCCCACCAAAATTCGCTATGGCGCAAATGCATAATATCGAACGAAAAAAAATCGTTAATGCAAAATTCAGCGAAAAATTTTATATATTTTTTAATAAATGCAAAATGTCGTGCTTATCCACTTACCGCTGCTGGTTGGAAACACAATCTACAGATGCTTTCCATGTCGTTTGCTCAGCACAGCCTGTGTTGCGTTCCTAGCGGCGTTGGCGTTAGCTAAGTCAGCTCCCAAGGAATCCAACATCGAGGGGGTCTCGCGCGCCAGCACCGTTCGCTGTTGTTGTGAAGCCCGCTGCTGTACTTCAGCAATTCCAAGCTGCTCTGTCAATGCTATTATTTTCGAAACTACACCAAAATACCCACACTTTTTCACACGGCTTGTATGTACGCTTTTTTATCTCCAACAGTTCAAATTCTGACCAACGGAGAACCAGCGGATTCTATTCTTTCGCGAATTTTTTTTTGCGTCTCGCTTCACTTGCGCCTTCGCTGCAATACCAACTCGCGTTGGTAAATGTATTTCGCGTTTTCGTATATTTTTTCCACAGCTACACACTCAATTTGCGCACAGCTTTTTGTCCAATTGATATTCTTTTTCACAATTCACAAATTGGCGGTACGGTTCTATCTTTTTCTTCCCTCGTTTATTTTCTAATTAAAACGCTGTTTATGTTTTGAAATATTTCTTTTTTCACTTTGTTACTCCACATTGTTTGCACTTGTTGTTGCTGAAATGTTCCTTGACTTTGACTACTAATCAAAATAATAAAACTTTTTTATTGCAACAGAATTCGAAGCATTCTCGGCGTTCGCTTGTGGAAATGAAAAAATTTTTCTACTCGTCCAAGTTCACCCACAACTCGTTAGTGTAGTTGTTGCTGCCAACGCAAGTGCTTCTAGCTGTCTCATTTACACAGGTGCATTTCAGGCAGGCGCCGGCCGACAAAGTATGCGGTTATGATGTGCGTAAAAGAGTAGACAAGATATTAATGGGTCAAATCGGATGAAGTGTACCGAGAATAGAATAGTACAGGGTTGCTTCAGAGTACAGAGTGATATGAAATCGCAATTAAATTTTTGGATGCCATTTTTTTAGAAAAATGTGGGACTTGCTGCAGAGAATGTATAGTAACTATACGTTCTCTGCTTGCTGTTACCAAAGAACGTAAATATAAGGTGGTAGCAAAGAACGTACGTAAATTTGGTGTTGTCGCTTCTTATACATTTACGTTCTTAACGTTGGTTTGTTCTTGTAAGTAATCGTAGAATCTTGCTTTTTGCACAGGTCATGCAGGTCCAAAGGTGTAGAAATATTATTGCGCAGATAACCACACCTTCATCTACCGCGACCACAAACGATAGCTTAATCAAAGAACGTAAATCTACGTAATATTTACGTTCATTGGTTTGATGCACACACAATTGTTCGCGTGTGTTTCAGGCCACTGATTTGTTGTCTTTAGCAGCGTTGCCAACTATGCATGTTTCAAGCAGATTTTGTATTGTCCAAAAGAGGCGCCCTCTATTTCTTTCTCGCTCACTCTCACACTTTCCGCATTGAATTTCGCTCTGCACTTTTTTGCGGCTTCGACAAATTTCGACGTTGGGCTGCTGCTTGGCTATTGGCGTTTATGTTATGTTGTTGTCTTCCGTTCTTTGCTGAAGAAGCATTGCAGTTAATTTTTCGCGGTTGCAGTTGTCGGTAAATTAAAGTGGGTGCAAGTTAATTAAATGGAAAGATTGCTATAATAAACTATTCCGCGCATGCAAATGTGTCACAAGTTCTCTAATTATTCGCCAGTGAAATTAATTCCAAACTAAAGGAAGCATTTGCGGTGTCCATTTTTCCTTAAAATTGCTTGGTTACGCGGCAAAAGGATAACAAACAAACAATCGGCGAAAGCGTACGAAAAAGGTGGGCAAAAATATATATATAATGTAGTGTACGCGGAAAAATCGTCGCATTGCAGGAAAAATGGATTTTATTGGTTTTTTTTTATATATGTTACACGCTGCTGACTGCAGCGAAAAATGTTGGAAACACATTCTGAGCAATAAAGTGGCGCCGCAGTAAGAAGAAAATTCGTGAAAAGTTCCTGCAACTCGGATTTTTCACACATCTGCACACTGCTGTTTTAAGCCAGCATCCTGCGAGCCGCTGTCGCGCGAGTTACGAGTTGACTCAGCGTGTGCATTTTCCAAACGATATTTTAGTTTTTCTAATTTTTTGCATGTGCTCTACTAATGCAATTAACGCCAGCCGCGCCACTCGCCATTAGAAAAGCGTTTGAGTGGCATTTGAGGGAAACAAAAAGTTGCAGCAGCATATCAGCAACTGAAAATATGGCACGAGAAGTGTGACAAAGAAGAAAAGTTACGTGGAAAATGTTGGTGTGAATTTCGAAAAAGCCATCATAGGAAAAGTGCATACTAGATACGCATAAAAACTAGTGAAAAATAGAAAGCTAATTAGAGTGCTGCTGCAGCCGCAATTTTCAGTTAAGCGCTGCCACCATCACCAACACGATGGACAAGTGCCGTTGCGAGCATCGTGAAAAGTCGTCCGTTTTTTTTTTCTTTTTTTTCGCTTGCAAAGACAACTAATTAAAAGGCAAATAATAATTACGTTTACCGCGACAGTCGGGTCTGGGTAACTGGAACGAAACAGATTTACATATGGAGCATTCCAACGTGACGGGTGGAACATTTTGTCTCGTTAACTAAGATAGTATGTAACGTATTACTTAATCGCTAATTTTCACAAAAAAATTAAGTTTCCACGAGTGGCGGTAGAGACAACTATGACACCGGCTTCTCTGAGCTGATGTATTCTTTTCCAAATTTTAGACAAACTATAAATATGTACATACATACATACATATTCCGTTAATAGCTTCTTACTCGTATAATTAAACAAAAAACTGATTTGCCTTGATAACTTGATGAGAAAATACCCTACCGGGGTCGCCCTACGGCTGCATTTATATGTAACTGTAGAAATAGAGAAAAATGTGAAAAATAAATTGATAAAAATAGTTTTCAAAGAATTACAGTAGATGCTTTACTGTTGTAGATTTAAACGCAATCTACTCTCATACATATGTATGTATGTACATACATTATTTATTGTAGTGATGTCTGCGCTGGAATGACCCATATGTGTAAGTACGTACATATATACATACATATCTGTGTTCGTATGGATTAGTAGCTAATGTCGAAAGGTTGGCTTTAGTATAATGCAGCATTCTCAGCATACGATTGCGAATGACTCACTGGCGCCGAGCCGTTGAAGAACTTTTAGCAAATAAATAATATAATAAAAATATTCTTATTAAGTCTCATCAAAAAATTCGTATAATGAATGCCGCATTATACTAAAGCCACCTTCCCGACATACGCTATACGAACACAAATATGTAGGTATATGAAAGTATACATGTACATATGTACAATGTAGTACATACATATTACCTAGAATATGGCCAACGATTGTCACTGCAACAGCATTCGGCAAAACTTACAAACTTTTACACCAACAATAGGAAAAATTAAAAAACTTAACGTATTTAAAAAAGTGAAATTAGTGCCGTTAGGTCAACTAGCTATCGTCACGCCATTCCTTGGTTTTATTCTATTTTTACATTATGTGACTTGTTTGGTTTTCTTTAATTTTTTATTTTGATTTTTTTGACCGCATTTGTTGCCCATTTTGCCCACAACTGATTCCCCAGCAGCTTGCTTATTAAGTATTTAAGCGCGTAATTTACAATTAAAAGCGAACGCGCGACCAACGCCAACAACACAGTCAAAACAATAAAAATAGCCAAGGAAAAGTTTATGCAGACCAGCACACTGGTGGCAGGCCTGTTTACATTCATACATACAGTGGTAAAAAAATAAATAAAGACACATTTTAACAAATGTTTCCTATTTTTTTAAATTTATCTAATATTTATTATTCTAACGAAAATCATTTAAATTCATATATCAAACTTTGTGCAAAAATTATAAAAATTCTGCAAAATTGTATCAAAATTTTCAACTTTTTTATCACAATTTTTTTTTGAGTATGCAGTTTTATAGCCCATTAAATTTTTGTAAAATGATATGTAAGTCTGAAATTCCTAAAAAATTGTGTTTATTTTTCGTATTTTTTTTTTGATGCAAGAAAATGCGGTAAATAAAATTGCCAAAAATCAACGCGATTTTTTGGCAACTTAAAACTTACACTTCATTTTCTTAAAATTTAACGGGCTATAAAACTGCATACTCAAAAAAAAAATTCTAAAAAACCTGATTAAAAAGTTGAAAATTTAGATGCAATTAGAAATGTTCGGGTATGCAGTTTTGTAGCCTATTCAATTTTAGTCTAATAAAGTGCAAGTTTCAAGTCGCTAGAAATCACCGTTGATTTTTTAGAATTTTTTTTTTTCTTTAAAAATAGATTTTAATCATGTGTTATATGGAAGAAAATGCGATACATCCAAGCAGACTCGCGAGTCAGACGCACCGTGTATGCCGCCTGTTACATTGCATCTGCAAAAAACCTAAACTCACTTTCTATAAAAAAAAAAGTATGGATTAAGAAATCTTTGGCTACCAACCAAGCATGAATGTATAAAAAGAAATTGAAAATATGTATGTATGTTGGTTCCCTTGGCACAGTATTTTTACAACAGCTGCGGCAACATTTTACGACTGCACCAACAAAAGCAAAAAATACCAAACAAAAAAAATATATATTTACTTACAGCTGGCTGCAGCAAAATCAATTGGTATTAATAGATTTTCCAATGCTGATGAGTAAATGTAGAAGCTGTTTATTAAGAAAAATTTAAATACTGAAAAACTAAAAGTTTCATAAGACACTCATATTTCTAGATTTTACTACATTTGCTGATAAAAACATGCTGCAAACAATTAAAAAAAAAAAAACAATTACAATAAGAAGTCAGTAAATTTCTAAATAAAAACTATTTAAAAAAAAAATTACCAAAAAAAAATAAATTTTTATAAAATATCTACCAAAACTAAAAAAAGACTCCCAAAAAGTAATAACAGTTATATTAAAAATTTAAAAAAAAAAAAATAAAAAATCCAGAAAAAACTCAAAAACACGCCTAAATAAATCATTAAGAAGAACCTTGCGTTTTATGGAAGATTGGAAAAAATTTATTTCCGATAATTAAGTTACATGAAAAAGGATAGTACTTGCTGCTCACTGCTTCAACGTCCCGTTTTGAATTTGCAGGTAAGCTATATATTTTTTACTACACCACCCCTTATCCACACTTTTCCCTAAACCAAATCCTTAAATATACATATGGACGGTACTATTTTTTTTTTTTTACTGAATGTTAGTGATTTAATAACAAACTAAATTCGTCAGCGGTATGCGGAAGTCTCAAGTACGCCGAAGTCTAGTAGGAAGTTTGATGAAAAGATGTGTTAATTTTTGAAGTAGCAACCTTAGCTACTAGGTACCGGATAGTTGTCTTTCTATAAGCGTACTAGGTCTCTTACTATTCGGTTAATCGACTATCCAAATTGTGAACTTTTTCTATAATTCTGTGTATTTTCCATACATACAGATTTAGAAAAAACATTAAATATTTTGTTTTATAATTTGGCAGATCTTTTTAAAATTAAATAAGTATTTAATATTTAAGAATAAACGCGCATTGGGCGAATATTTTTTATTTTGTTTGGGTGTGTATGTACCAGAGACATAACAGTTATAAGTTTTATCGGAAAATCGTTGTTCCATAACAGTTATTAGATGAGAAGTATTTTTTATTTCGCCGTTAAGAGACTTATAAGCCAACGTATACTTTTTACGCTGCCTGATAACTGTTATGCAGGAGAAATATGTTTTCCGTCGCCAATAAGAGTTATTTCCCAGCGTTAATTTTT